GCACAGGAGAGGGCGTGTCCACCATGTCTCTTGTCTCAAATCGCCCTTCTTCTCTTAGCCAGTTTAAATCACGAAATCCTGCCCTCTCACACACACGTGTGTGTACCTGCCAGAGCTGTCCCACAGTCTAGGCTGGGCTTACTGTCCACCCCCAAGGCAGAGCCAGGCACACCCTGTGTGTGCACACCCCTCCCCTGGAACCAGCATGGGGTGGTGGGGGGTCCCATGTCTGTGTGGGTATCAGACTGGCCTACTGAATGGGGGTGATGCCCCCAAGAAGCTACTTTTCACAAGCCCTTCAGACTATGCGAAGGCAGCTAACCAGGCCCCAGAGCTTCAGAGCAGCCAGTGTCCTTCAAAGACCGCCATGACCTGTTCCTAACCCACCACAACTCCCTGTCCACCCTCACCCACCGCCACGACTTTCCCCTTCCCTCCCTTCCTTTACGTATCTCTGTAGATTTCATCTTGTTGGGGAGTCTTTCCCAGATCATGCTTTTTATTTTTCAATAAATAATTATTTTATTTATTGTTTATTTATTTTAATTTGACCAGAGAGGGACAGAGAGAATGAGAGAGTGAGAGAGAAGGAAAGTGAGAAAGCAAGCTGCCAGGTCCAGGACTTGAACCATGGTCGGCCATGTGGGAGTCCAGCACCCTTAACCACCACACTACCTGTCAGCCCCAGACCATGCTTTTTAATATAGTCGACCATCTATCTCTATCTTCCCTACCCTCTTTTTTTTTCTTTTTTTTTTTTTAAGAGATATTTTGCTATAGGGCCCATGCACTCTCTAGAGAGACAGAAAGTGAGAAATCATCCCCCTGACCACGCCGCAATCCCTTCTCCTCCCGACTCCTCTTAGGATTTTGGGCATGCATGCACGCACATGCGCCCCATGTGAGTTTTAAGCTGCTGGGTCTGGGACTTGACCAGCAGTTCACTACATGGGAGTCCAGCAAAGTATCCATTACTCCATCTGTTGGCTCCCTCTGTACCCTCTTTGCCTGTTACTTTTCCCAAGCACTTGTTTCCATCTGACAGACCAGTGTGTGCTGGAGCTGACTCAGGTGGCTCACAAGCCTACTGACACACTTTTAGGAACTCACAGGCTACTAGTTAAGCACAGCCATTGTTAAAAATGAAATTAGGGGCTAGGAGGTAGCGTGGTGGTTAAAGGCGCTGGATTCCCACATGGTCAACAGTGGTTCGAGTCTTGGACCTGGCAGCTTGCTTTGTCACTTTTCCTTTCTCTCTCTCTCTCTCTCTGGTCAAATTTTTAAAAATAATAATAATAATAACAAATGGAATTAAATAAATAAATCTTCTTTATTTTTCTTAAATGAGGGGCCAGCAGGTGGTGTGGTAGATAGGGCACTGGACTCCCACATGGCCAACTGCAGTTTGAGTCCCGGACCTGGTGGCTTGCTTTCCCATTTTCCCTCCCTCCTTTTCACTCTGTCCCTCTCTGGTCAAACTAAAATAAATAAATAAAGCTAAATAATTCTTTTTAAAAAATGAAATGATGAGAGCTTACAATTAAATAAAGGGTATTAAAAACACAAGTGAGGGACCAGCAGTTAGCGTAATGGCTATGTCGCTGGACTCCCATGTAGTTGACTGCGGTTCGAGTCCTGGACCCGGTGGGTTAAATTCACGTCGGGCACGTGTGCGTGCATGCCCAAGATCCCGAGAGGAGAATGGAGGAGAAGGGATTGCGGCATGGCCATCCCCTCTGGGGGGTGATTTCTCACTTTCTGCCTCTCTGTCTCTCCGGTGAGCACACATGCCCTATAGCAAAAACCTCTCAAAAAAAAAAAAAAAAAAACACAGGTGAAAAATGTTCAAACTCATCACTTTCCATTTTTTAACTCCCTTTCATGATTATGTTCTTGAAATTCCTATCATCTGTATATCTGTACAGTAGCAATATATAATATAAATACTCATTTCTACCCAAACCCAAGTGCAGTGACATCAATTGGCAGCTTGAAGTCAACTGTGGGGGCAGTTTTTACTACCACGAAATAAGTAAATGTGGCAAATTGGGTTTTAATTTATTGTTTCGTTGACTGTCTAGACCCGGGGTTGGCCATGGTCAAATCCAGCACACTGGTGTTTTTGTGTTTTTTAACTTTCCAGAGGGCCTGGGCACTCTGAGAGAGTGAGAGAGGGAACCCTCATGGGGTATCCCCCATGGGGCATAATCATACCATAATCCCTTCTTCATTTCTCCTTCCTTTTGGGATTTTGAGTATACACGCAGAGGTGCCCAGTGTGTTTCTCAAGCCACTGGGTCTGGGACTTGAAACGTGATACAGTCAGCCATGAGGGATCCAACCACTTTAACCACCAGCCTCTGGCTGGCCCCACTAGTTATTTTTGTCAATCAAAATCCATGGTACACAGTCATGCTCATTCATCTACATGCTATCTGCAGCTGCTGTCACTCCACAGCAGCGGAGCCGAGAGGAGTTATAACCATATTCCCTGCAAAGCCGAATTTATTTACTATCTGGTCATTCACAGTGATATTTGCTGATCTCTGGTCTAATCTTAAGAAAATAATAGAGAAGATGTTAATAATGTAAATTAAATGTAAACAGATGTGATGTCTCCAGCTGTTACACTGTAAATAGCAAAAAAAAAAAAAAAAAAAAACT